TCAAATGACAACAAAAAGGAATGGACATGTAAGGTGGAATGATCAGTGGAATAAATGACAACAAAAAGGAATGGACATGTAAGGTTAGAGTTGTGGAGAAACGGAACATCAAAGACTCAAGGACGAGCCCTAACAAGTACAGACCTTTTATATTGCAGGATGAGGAGGTAAGCTTATAAAGCTTATAAAATAATCAATCCTAGAGCGTACATATTACATGCACTAATTATGTTCCATTCAACCATTTCTGTACAGGGTACCAAGGTTCTTGCTCTCGCAAATAGTGGTGACATTGAACAAATTGATAAGATACTCGGCCTCAAAAACACGTACTATATAAGCAATGTTGCTGCCATGCCTAACCAAGTATAGTGGTGATCCCCCATCCGCAAACTATAATTACATCTAGATGTTGAGTAAAAAGACTTGGATTGAGGCAGCCCCAAAATCAGAACAAATTCAGGCAACAAATGAGACAGACACAATCCTCACACAATTCTTTGACTTCTATGACTTATGCGGTTCTAAAACCCCAATCAGTATGTGAATAGTATTAGTCTTCATTAACATAATACGAAAAATCACAATGATGTGACATCTAAACTTTTTTTTATGTTTGCTACATTTAGATTTCATGGCCATTGTGATTCAGAGAATGCCGAGAGAGTATGTCTCCGTTCCTGGACATGCCAAAATCGCACATGATTTCATGCTTGTGAATGAAGAGTAAGTATGACGTAGTTATTCTAATTACTTAACATTGTGTATATCTAACCTTTTTACTTTCATCTTAAAAAGAATGAAACCAGTTGTGTTGACTCTTTGGGAAGATTTCACAATGAATCAAGGCCGGGATATAACCTTTTTCTTTTTCAAGGTATATTATTGAATATTTTATAGTTTATTCATTTAAAAAATGTGAAATCGTATCATAAGATAATAATCCAAGAGGTTATTCCAATTTTATAAAACTTTTTTTATAAATTGTTGAGACACGGGCATGTCACGTTTTCGTACTAAAGCCGTGTTTGTTCTTATGACAGGTTTTGATAATGCCAAACCGCCGTGATCAAGTCAAACTTTGAATATACAAGGCGAAGAAGGAAGACAAGAACAAGAGCTAAAAGAAGACCAAGAACGAAGACCTTAGTTTTAGTGTCGTGAGTCGGTCTTCATTGTGATCAAGACCGA